ATACATTGAAAAGAAAAGGCCCCAGAACAGAGCCTTGCGGCACCCTGGACCTTACGTGAAAAGGCAGGGAGAGAGTGTCAGAAACACGAACCCTGGATTGTATGTTGGTTAAGTAACTGCGAAACCAGCTAACATAAGCATCAGAGAATCCGAAGGAGCTTAATTTATGCAAGAGCATATTATTAGGGACGAGGTCAAAAGCATTCGAAAGATCAAAATAGATGGCATCAGCTTGACGCTGACCACGGACAACAGGCGTCAAGAAGTCGAGAAACGTCACCAAATTGGTAACTGTAGATTTAGTTCTGGTAAAGCCATGTTGGTTGGAATTAAATTTAGTGAAATGAGAAACATGGTCATGAATAATGAATTTAAACAATTTAGAGAAATTACTGATAATAGAAATAGGCCTGTAGTTGCTCACAGCGGCATGATTGCCTCTTTTAAATACTGGTAAAACAGCAGATTCTTTCCATGCAGCAGGAAAATACTGCTGTGTCAGTCTCAAGTTAAATATATGCCTAAGTATAGGAATAAAAATAATACTACTAATAATAATAATAATGAATACTTTTATCCTTGATATATGTAATACAATGAAAATGAAACTTAGAAATTAATGGTATATATTTGAAACTAACAAATATGGCTTACATAACTTCAATGAAAAAAATATTAGGGTAGAAAAAAGCTGCAGAAAATTAACTAAAGATTCTTGACTTTCATGAAACAAAAGAGTATACTGCAGCAGTATTGGCTAGCTGTAATTTAAAACCGAATGAATCTGAATCTTGGTAAAAAGAAAAGACTGCAAAAATGAGTTCATTAAAATGTTTGATTAGATGAACAAAATGCTCAATGCAGATCAGTCACTACCAAGATGTCTGTCAACATGACATAACATGCACACACACACACTTAGCTTCAATTAGAAACCAGATGTTTTGCAAATAAAATTATTTTAAAATATTTTATTTCATACACACTCAATCACTTCAAGACATAGAATCTTCATTTTTCATCCTTTTCGCAGGAGACATCGGTTTGCTATCTAAACCTGGACGTTTCATACCCACTGGCATCTTGACTTGAGTAGATGGATCTGTGAAATGCACATACATTTCTTCAGTTAAGGAGAATGAGAACTTGGTAAAAAGTGTGGTAACTCACTTTAGATACTAAGCAATAATAAAATAATTCATGCTGCTGTCTTGAATATCTTTATACATTTTATTCTTTTTTTTTCAGTCTTCTAAATTATAAACATTACAGAAAATCCACATTCATATACTTACCTTGGAGCCACCTTACTTGGGTAGCAGGACCATATCCTTTTTCATTTCTAGCAGCAATTCTGAAGATGATTGCTGGCTTTGTTGTTACGTCAATATGCGCTGCTGAGAGTGATGAGTTTGGCACAGTTCACTGGTTAGTTGGACCATAGTATACACGAACAAAAGCCAGCTGTGTTGGTGTTGTAGACACTGTTTTTGTATCACCCTAACAATTACACATAAAAGACATGTACAATATTCAAAACCCTTTAAGAAATTCATCTTCTTCTAATTATGACATGACTCATACAAAAAAGTTTTACCATAGCATGAAATTTCTTGGGAAGTTCAAATTTTGGACAATGATACATTATTTATTAGACAAATGGCAAAGCTGTGTTCTCTTGAGATAAAGCTCACATATAAAACATAATTTGATATATTATATTACATTATTTGTTGTATTATTTATACATATATACCCTGAGAAGGCATTTTTTAAAGCAAGTGGTATTAAAAAGATAATTTTTAGAAGAAAAAAAAAACACTGAAATCACACACTACATAAAATATAAAAGTGCAGGCATTATGCAGAAATATCTTGAGCAGGATTAACTTCATATACTATATAAAATTATATTGATAGCGAACAGCTTTGTTAGGATGAAGAACGGAAATCACATTAAAAGTAAAAATGTTCTAAATATACATATAGTTTGTGAAAATGTGCCTAAGATCACAGAAACTGATCACCACAGATGTAAATTCATCGTTGTGAAGGATGTATTTAAAACTGCAATATACCCTTCCTAAGAGGACAGGCAAGAAATCAGTATTATAAACATGCTGGATTACGTATCATTTACTGACCTGAGCCTGGGAAGTGTCTGTGCACTGCAAGATACACTGAATACTCAATTATCTCTCCAGGTGTGCTTGGTGGTGGCTCCCATGAGAAATGTGCGCCTTTAGTTGACTTTGATATTTTAATAGCTGAAGGGGCTTCTGGGTAACCAGGCAGACAAGTCTTGAAAGCTGAGACCTAAAAAAATGTAACATTTATATAAAGCAGTCCTAAGTAGTTCTTAACACACAGTGTTCAGTAAATTTTAACACAGGGACACTTCATTCATTTATTTCCTTTTAAATCAAAAACTGTTGATGACTTGGGACTGAAATGATCCTTCCACTGTCAGCTCCCTTTTAGAGGATTTATATATACCAACTCATTTATTAAAATGCTTGAGAACAGGCAAATGAAAATTATATATAGCCACTGAAAAGAGAAAGCTATATTCATGCAGAAGACACGAAGAGACAAAGGAGAGAAGAAAATACAAAGGAACACAATATTAAGAACTAAAAACATAAACATTGAAAATAGGGATCTGAAGAAGAACAAAGTTAGTAATATCAGTGAAAGAAGAGAACCCTCTGTTAATAATATCAATGTATCTGCAGACATCAGCTACAGAAACACATATGGCTGAGGGACTAGCCTCTTCACACTGGCAAACATTGAAAGCTGAAGTCTCTGACCTAGTAGGTACGCATTAAACTAATAGTATCAAAAAATGGATGAGTGACCAAGTTTGTTTCTTAAAGACACTAATGAGAAATGAAGCATAAAGGAATTGCTGCCTGGACTTGGGCGTTGGAAATTTGTATTTAATTGATATGTCATCACACCTATTATCACAAGTGCCGATAAGAAATCTGCCAGAACATAAGACTGCAAATTCTCTTTGAATTCCTTAAGTTTAGATGAATCAGTCAATTGATGGTGTTCCAGGTGATAGAAGTGTATTCAAATTTCGATCAAACTAGAGCACTATACAAAACTGTAAGACTATAGATAGTAGGAAAGGAAAGTGTAATACAACAAATGAAACCTAATATTTTTAGGCTTTTTGAAGAAAATGTAATCAACTTGACCGTGAAAGTAAAGCTTATGGCCTAACAGGATTCCAAGATCTTTAACACTTTGGGAATAGACTTCTAGTATGTTAAGTAATTTGTAATTAATTTTGATTTTTAATTTTTCAGTTTATTTCTGTTAATCCATACTGGTACAACCATCAGGTATAGAAAAGTCAAAAAGGAATACAAGACAGTACAATATTAATAGTAATAAGACATGCAATCATTAAAAGATTTTGTCCAAAAAAAAATAATAAAAATAGTAGAACAGTGTAAATATTGATACAATGATGTTACGATTACCATCAGAAATACTTATCTAGTTTTATGCATAGAAATCATTCACAGTATAAAAAGAATGTTCATGCAAATAATTTTTAATGCTTTTTTAAAGCTATTAATATCACATGCCAAGTCTTTCATGTCAGCCGTAAGATTGTTTTATATATATATATATATATCTGATTTTGCAAAATTATTTATTGCTATTCATGTGAACTGTTGGTTCGAAAGGTGAATAGGTTTAGGGGGGCTGAGGGGAACACATAGGATGGTAGTTAGTTAGTTAGTTATTGGAGAGGGTGGGTTTCCCCATGCACTTAGACCTGTATTGGTCCATTGTGCTTCCCTCTATGATTTCTACCAGTCTCTATATCCTACCGGTACTGGTGCTTACCATCAGTTGTTCCCTGAATTTTTCCGCACTTAAAAATTCGACGACCTCCGCCGGGTATTTGAACCCGTGTACTACGAGTCATGAGGTGGGAAAGTTCTCTCTAGACCCCTAGACCCACTAGACTACCGAGACCTCTCGTGGTATGGTAGAATTCTATTTTATTGATTATGTTGTCGGTGCTGGTGGCCGTTTCTCATTTAGTTAGGAAACGGCTCCGTAGAGATGGCAGCACAAAGGTCACGTGACGTCAAGGCGTTCGTCAGCTGCTGCCATGAGATGACGGACAAATTATTCACGTAAATTTTGTGTACTCAAATGAAAATGTTGTTCCTTTCTAACCCTTTTCTCCTTAGGGTGTGGTACGTCGGCCACGATTTGGTCTATTGTACCAGCTCCGGATGATATATGATGATGAGGATCGGTATCATGGTTACTTTAGCCATCTGTTTTCCACAGATCTGCACAGTTCTAGCCGGTTCTAAATACATGGTGTTAGCTATGATAGCAATCTCTTTTCCTGAATTAATGGCATTAAGTGTAGCAACTGTTTTTTTTAAATGTCTGTATCTTAATGTTGTCGCAACCACTTGTTTTCGTGAAACATGTGAAATTATAACCACAGTCTGAAGTGTTGTTCCTTGTCATCAGAGGTTGGTTCTGGGAAGTTGTTCGCTTCACACACTTGAACACCGACGGAAAGACCGAGGAATTTTGTCAAGTAGAATGTTGAAATTGTCATTAAGTTCTGCTATTACCAAACCAGATATTCCGATAAGCTATATGAGAAAACCCGAATACTGAGGGAACTGTAGAAACGAAAGACCGTGGTAGATACATTGTTATGTATGATTGACACTGAAGGGCGAGGTCAGAGGATATATATGTGGTGGGATGGATGTACCCAATGACGAGGTATTGTAAGCTTATGTAATATACTTTAAGGTTACGATATTTTCCCAGTTAATATACACAAATTACATAACCTCATCCGGAATAGCAGGCATGTGATTATAAGACAATATTATTCTTGTAACTTGTACAGTGAAAGAACTGGAAGTTCTGATAATATGGCAGTCATCAACTGATGAGAGTTTTGTGACTTAAAACGCTTTGCAAAATTTCAAAGGGATTCGTATAAAATTCTTCATTGGAACTCCTGTGTAGAAACTTAAGTGTAACAAATCTGTGAAATGAATATGGCTACTCATACGAGATATCCATACAATTACCAAAAAATGGTAGGTGACTTTGACATTAGTGCAGTAGGCTGTGGGGACTAAGTATAGAACAGGTTTGTTGAAACAGCTGCAAAATGGAAATCATTCACTTGAGCCCCTTTAGCATGCAATCATATTTCATCTTCCTTAAACCTTCATTAGAGATTTCATATTATTATGACTGGTGTAAGGCGCACTGAAATTTCATTCTGAATTGGGTAAGACTGCAAAAGATGTTCATATTTCAGGTCTGGTCCAAATTCTCATGTACGTTCTCCAAGGCCCTTTTCCTCTGTATAATGTTTTTCAGCTTCTAGAGTCAGTGCTAAACTAGCTTTGAAAAAGCAATTTTCATAACCGTCTACCCTCTTTACCATGAAGAGTCCAAAAATTTACATTCTAAATAATTGAACTGTTAATTAAAACATTGACATGAGTCATTAGGATATTCCTAAATCTGTGTTTATTTCTCACAGTCCACAGCAAGCATTCAAAATGGCAGTTATTTTGTAACGTTGCAAAAAAAAATGTATTCTTGTATATTCTCCCCTTTTCCTTTTTTTTTTATTGCCAGTGGGGTGGGACTAAGTCCCTTGCACTGTGGCCACTTCTGGCCTATTGTACCAGTCCCAGATGATAGGTGAGGGTGATTGTGGAGCAATTAGTGGAATGAAGACTGGCAGGGGAAACTGGAGAAAACCTGCCCCAGCGCCACTTTGTCCACCACAAATCCTGCTTGACCAGACCTGGGATCAAACCCGGGCCGCCACGGTGGGAAGCCAACAACTAACTGCTTGAGCTATGGCACGGCCCACATATTCTCCCCTTAACATGCACACAGCGTTTAATCTAATGATGGTGAAAAATTTATCCATTTTGATTATATAATTCAGCATAAATGTACTATATTTATTGTTCTTATTCATACACACCTAATGGTGGTCAAAAGAGACCAGAATATGAAGTGTGATTGCAATAATAAAATGGTGGACAGATTGTTTCTATTTGATTTCAATTTTATTATGCAGTAGTCAAACCCATGTCTGTTGTGTGACAGTACAAAACCCAAGATTCATATACACAGCAGGATGCATAACATAAAAATAATGGCAGTTATTGTTGATTGGCTTTGCTCTTGTTTTACCAACTTCTGTTGTATATATATTTGTGATCCACCTCCTTATAAAAATTTACATGGCTAACTCCAGTGGTTCTTCAGATATCACCAATGATCAAAAAATATGGTTGCCTGTTTGCCAGTGGTGACAACCATTTTTCATGGCAACTAAATTCCCACTCAGCATTTGGGTGTTGGCTCTTGATATTCTGGCAAGTTCACAATCACTTATGGCCCAGAGGAAATGGCAGAACATTTCCAAAGACATTAATATCAATAAAATTAGTGAGTCATAACAATGTGATTTTTCTCTTTGTCTTACACCTCCCCTTTGTGTGTTAGGACAAAGTTTATATCAACAGGAAGAAATCAGTGTTGGGTGGCATTCACAGGGGAGAGACATAGCAAGTCACTAGAAGGTACTGATTCACTTTCTGACTACCAAAATGTTTGTCTGACCTGCAGATTATCAAAAAAATGTTAGCACCAGGTTATCATCATTTAATTTAAACTAAGAAAGAAAATTTTCATCGCCACATTGTTATTATTCAATTCAATTCAATTCAATTTTATTTCATCCATGAATCATTATACATGATATGGGACAAGTCAAAGATTAATATTAATACTAATACTAAATAGTAATAAGAATATAATAATACAGAAATAGTGTGCCAAATTATAATAAATGATGATAATAATAATAATAATAATAATAATAATAATAATAATAATAATAATAATAATATAGTAATACAGAGATAATAATATGACAGTATAATTTGTCTTGAAAACAGTTTCTGTGGTCTTAAATCCTCCATATGTCCTATTGTACCTTTACTGGTGGTAATGCCTATGGAGATTTGATGGAATGAGGATTGGCAGGGGAAACCGAAGTACTCGGGGAAAACACTCTCCAAAATGTTGCCTTATGAAAAGTTCCATTTACTTCAAAGATTTGTTCCCATACATCATTGTAGGATCATGTATTAATGTGGCTGTAGTATTGCTCCCACTTCACAAGTTCAGACATCTATGATGTTATTAGTGACTGTAAGAAATTAAAAAGTATGAGATAGGGGTGGTGGCCTCTGATGGCATAATGTCTTTACCAAATTTCATGAAGATAGATCATGTGGTTCAAGAGGTATAAATGGGAGAAGACACACACATGTGTGTGCATACATACACACACATACACAGTCAGCATGGTGATTTAATTAGTCTGCTTTCTTTTGTTAAGAAATGAAAGCAAGATAAACACATGTATTAAGAATCCTGCAAATATCAAGGCTTAATATAAAATTTGCAGAATGATAAGCAGATATAGATTCTGAAAGAAAATTAATATGTATGAATAGGAATTCCAAATTCCATAGAGGTATACATTGAGACACTTGAATAAAAGACAGTAGTCCCGTGTCACTCCTCAAAACTCTTAATTGACGAATTCAAAGTATAATTGAAATAATTATGCCCTCCACTTTAACAAACTGTAAACACTAAACTAAGTTGCAATGATACAAAATTATCACAAGAAAAGATGGGGCACATACACATAACCATATTCTAACTTTCTCAAGTTAACATGTCTGATCAGTACATGCATAGCCTTTGTGTCATAATATGTGTGGAGACCAACTCCATAACTTCAAGCACTAATGTTCTTCACACTCTTTAATTCTCAGTGATAAACATTGTTATTATGATCACTAGTAGCTTCTGTCACCTACCATTCTGTCAGTTCAACTTCTTTTCACATATATCATGGCAGACTTATTTGGCCTTTGGTATAACAGGATGGGCATACAGGATAATCAGACACAAATACAACAAACCAACCTTCAAAGAAAATAGGACCTGCCACAGTTCTGCTAATCTTATTTGTTAATTTTCTTAGAACTTGAATTAAACAAAGCTAAAAGGTGAAATTGGGTTTATTAGATGGCAGCTTCATTTTATTAGGTGTTTATGTAACATTATGATTGACAAGCATTACTTCATGAATGTTAAAGAAAGGTCATATTCCAAGGGTCCACCTTTTTAACAACCAGTAGTTTACTAAAACAAACAAAACCGACACCTTTTATCAGTGAATCTTACAATAACATTGCCTTTTAATTATTATTAATCTTTTTGCAGTGAACTCAATGAAACATTCTGAATACCGTTAATGGGTTTGCAGATCATAAAGTCATTAACCAGTGGTCTGAATTCTTTTTACATGCCTCTATTCATTCCAAGATTATTATTGTATTGATGACATCAGTGTGAGATTTACATTGAATTGTGTAATACATTATTTGTAGATGAACTGCTAAAAGATGATGCCTGGGACATATTTCCTCACTTATATGGTAACCTGATCTAAAGAAATAAACAAGATGGCAGCACCCAATTTCCAGGGCCGGCACATGCGACAGCCCAGCAAAAACACACTTCTTAAAGTGGTCATACTTGGGGATGGTGGCGTTGGTAAATCATGCCTCATGAACCGTTTTGTGAGCAATCATTTTGATGAGCATTCATTCCACACCATTGGAGTGGAGTTCTTAAACAAAGATATTGAGATAAATGGAGAGGTATATACTCTTCAAGTGAGTACTGCAACAAACCAATCATGTGTCTGAGTTGTTTTTGCTAAATAGTAAACTAGGTGCACCAATTTCACTATACTGTACTATAATGAATTATGTTATTTGTGCCCTTCTCATGTATGTACATAATAAATTACCAAACAAGATGGCTGAAGTGGTAACACTTCTGACTTATATTCAGGAAGTGCTCAATTTGAATCCCAGCCATGACACTAACTGTCCTGACGAAGGTTTAACATGATTTTGCACAGCCCCTTGAGGAAAATGCCTCAAATTAGGCCATGCTCATGCTTTTTCTCGTCCTTTCCAATTTATTATTTTTCATCCAATCATCTAATGTGTAGTGTGAACGTTCAACAGCATTGTTACATATACTGATAAATATGGGGGGGCACACAGTAGCGTAGTTGGTTGAGGCATTATGCTACAAGCCAGAAGGTCGCAGGTTCAAGTCCCGATGAGGTCATTGGATTCTTTTCAATTGACCTAATCCTTCAGGCCGCACTATGGCCCTGGGGTCGACTCAGAAATGATTACCAGGAATATTTTTGGAATATTCTTGGGTGTAAAGGGCAGCCGGTGTGTAGGGCTGACAACCTTGCTGCCGATTGTGTAGAAAATGTGGGATAGGAACCTCAACATCTTACAACCCTATGGGCCTCCACGGCCTGTTACAGGGATACCTTTACTTTATTTACTTTTACTGATAAACATTAAAAATAAATATAAGACAAACAAATTATATTATTGTTTTAGAAGGCCAAAACTACTGGTCCTTGCTCATGAAGTGTTGACATTTGTAGGGTTACACACATTACCGCCTGTTTTCAAACATGTCAGTTGCTACAGGACATTAAATTAATATTGTATATTCTAAGATCAGAATGAGGAGAAACTTGGTGGGTGCATGTATGTTGATTCTTTATGGATATATATACTTTCTAATTTAGTAGGTCTTCAGAGTATGGTTCTGCAGTGGTATTCAGGATATTTACTAACTTCTTTCAGATATGGGACACAGCTGGACAAGAGAGGTTCAAAAGCTTGCGCACTCCATTCTATCGAGGGTCAGACATCTGTTTACTGACTTACGCAGTTGATGACCGTACCAGTTTTCGTAACCTTGCTTTGTGGAGAAATGAATTCCTGTATTACGCTGATGTAAAAGAGGGCATGACATTTCCATTTCTGGTCGTGGGTAACAAAGTGGATGTGAGTTCTGAGCAGCGTGAGGTTTCCTGTGAAGAGGCTCGTGCCTGGTGCATGGAGAATGGGAACCCTCCACATGTTGAGACCAGTGCCAAGGATGCAACCAATGTGGAGCAAGCTTTCTCATTGGCTGTGGAGAGTTGGGCACACCTGGAAGCCAAGTTGGATAGACCTTATATTGGTGATACAGTTGATCTGCGACGACAGCAGCCTGAACAGAGGTCATCCTGCTGCCTGTCTGTGGGTGGTAATACTGAATAGTGGTGACATGACTGACACATGTCCTTCAGAATCTGTTTGATGCTTCTTGTGGCTTTTATATTTAAGGCAGCAGGAAGTTGTTTATTTCTGAGAATTGTATTGTCTGGTGGTTAGGAATGTCTTGTATTTTATTGTATTGTATTGTATATGTAGTGAAGCTATCACATTGCACAGCATACAGTCATAGCTGTATCTCACAATGACAGCATATTCTATAGTAGACTGGTAATTCTTAATGAGAACTATATTATCAATGGCATCCCTACATAATGCATTGTAATTCTCAATAGCAATTCACCAAGATAGAGATAGAGAAATACAAATTATCTTTTTTTCTTCACTAAATTTACTTTTGCTGAGCCTTGTTTTGGTAGTCTCTTAGTGTTCTGATTTGTTGCAAAAGAGTATTTGTATTGCATATTGAACTATGATGCAAGAATTGTGTGTTTCTGTATCTTGAGCTATTGCCCGCCTGCATATGTGGTGGCTTCTCTTCTATAAAATAATAGATACTTGCTATGTAAGCTAGTCATATTTGTGGCACTGCTATTGGCCTTATATTTAAATGTTAACAAGTGAGACATTTCAAAGTATTCCCATCATGTATTAAGCACACACTTGATAATTCTAGTCTTGTGACTTCATGAAGTACCAATATATCAGTATTTTATTTTAAGTTCAATTTCAGGCTTCATGGTGTGATATAATTGTTGAAGTGTGCGTGTGCCTCATCCTTCATTGTATGTCTCAGGAATATTGCCTCTTTACAATGGCTACAGTGCTTCTCAGTGTAACACAAAATGTGTAGTTATTGTTCATGGACTTCATAGATCTGTGTGCAGTTCATTTGTTGCTATCATAAATATCATCATGCTTATACTGATCTTTATGACATGTGAAATGTTAAAAGTATATAATTTAAAATTTTCTGTAAGTCTAGTAGTCATAATTAATCTCATCCAGATGTCTTCTTTTATGAGGTTTAAAAATGAAACTCTCACATTTTTGGTGGGTTGCAAAGAACAGTATTTTCTTCCAGTGGGTTATAAAACAAAATTGGTCATTCTGCATTTGTGAATGAATTTCTTTTCAGACAAGAATCTGTTTTCTCAGTTTCACTGTTCTCTTCCTTCAGAGCACTGGTACTCATCTGTTTTTCAGTTACCATATAACTTTTATTGATGATTCATATGTTAAGAAAATATTCTAAGATGCTGCATGGATATGTCAAGAATGGTTGGTGGAGAATTAAATCTGTACAGTATTGGGGATTTTGTTGGATGCCCCTGTGGTACATTAATGGCTAATCTCCAGCTTGCTTAGGTCCTAATGTCTGGCATGTATGTGTATTAGAGGATCCCCATTTCTCAGGTTAGAGAAGGCATAAAAGAAATATATTAGCACCATTCCAGTCAGCCACCAGAATATGCAAGTAGATCCAGATCTGAAGTGTTTCTGTTTGAGTATGTCTGACAGTGTCTGACACAATTTCCATAGTAATGAAGTAAACATATTTATTTAGGGAGGAATTATGATATTAATTCAGATATTTTAAACTGGGTCAACAATACCAATGGAAGAAACTTAATTCGTCTTCATTCATTGTTAAGATGTACAGTAAAGGAGAGTGAATGTGATAATTTGTATCCAGACAACACGGAAGAAAACAGGATACATTGCAAGAAATCCTTTTCAATGATTTGAATTTCATTAGATTTGATGTTATACCATAAACATAAAATTTCCTTTAAATCTATGGAAATGTCATGAGATTGATAATTTGGTATTTATTTTACTGCAAGTGGAGATTAAATACAAAGAATTAATGCTGTAAGCAAAGCATTTGTACAAGAAGAGTTGTGTTAATGTTATAGGTGCAGTTGGAATATTTCATGAGTCTTAAGTTTACATTTAAGAACTTATCAATGACTTATATTTTAAACAGTTTCATGATTTAATTTTTTGTTTTTATTTCTTTTATAAATATATTCATATGACAACCATTGGTATACAGTACACTTACTGTAGTACAATGTATAGTCTTCTGATATGTTGAATAAAATTATTCTTATTTTGTTGTCCATAACATACTTATAATAAGTTCAAACTGTTTTAATGGTAATGTTTGTATGATGGTAATATAACAGAGATTTTGGTAGCTTGATAACTAATAATGTAAGCCTCTTTAAGAAGGAAAAGTTCTTGCGCCCTTCCACAACTTTTAGATTGGCATATAGGTCCACCCTGTCAGAATACGAGTACATCAAACCTGAAGTCGAATAAGGTTAAGATAAAGTTGTCCCTGTGCTTAACTGGGTAAGCACTATGCCATGGAACCACATGGGAAAGTATAGTATAGCTCTATCATTCTTGACATCAGCACTAGATGGAGGTGAGTGATCATGTACATGCCCTGCCGCTTTATCCCCCCCCCAGGAAAAGGGTCCCTGGTAGCCATTGGATAGGAGGTTGGGTGGGCCCCAGAATCAGTCTGGATTATGCAGAGAAGAGAAAAATCTTGCACTTCCAGGAATCAAACATGGGCCATCCAGCCTCTAGCCCATCAGTATACTGACCGAGCTATCACAACTCCTGAATGAAGTCAACTAACAATAGAAACTAGAATATCAGTCATTTGATGTCCATTATTTGAGAGGTAGATTGGCTTATTATGGAAACTGTTTCCCACAGATTGTCATTGTTGCTAGAAAGTACTGAAACACGTGGTTGAGGCAAAGTGCCATGTGAGAACTGCAATCAGTTCAGTGTACTGTGAAAGCAAAAGTCATATTGCACTGATTACTGTTCCATATTTTCTATTTAAACCTTAGCTGACATTACACTGACGGTTAATAATCATAACATTTCTGCACATAAAATATTTATACAAGAACATTGGAAGTAGTAGAAAAAAACTGTAATTTTAAATGAAATGTCATGCTTGCTTAATATCCTATATGGCTAACGGGGATATAATTTTCCCAAGAAAATAACTGTGATGGATGTAAACAGTATTGATTTCATTTAAAAGATAAAGTTGTTCCTGTGTGTAACTAATTAGTATTACAACATGAAGACATATGGGGCAGTCGATGTATAGACCCATGTTTTCTTGATGTCGGCACTAGTTGGAGTGGTCACCATCACACCCCGGCTGCTTTACCCCTGGGGGAAGAGCCCCCAATACCCACTCATGTACAATGTAATATTCATGTATCAGCAGGGACACTGAAAAATGGCCTCACACATTTTTCAATTCAAATTCCACAATAGAGGCATATGTATAGCCAGATGTGGTCCATAAAACAGTTTTAAAAATTGCGGTGAATATTAAAAATCATGTCCCTTTTCATGACACAGTATTTCTATCCCCCCCCCTTTTTGCACAATTTTGTCTTTCTCAAATACTGGAAAATGGTGATGGTCCACTGGTTCCTACTGGTTTGCTCAAAGGTTTGTTATTCCATTCCCTATATATATTCTACTCTTTTCCTGCTTGGCTTACTGTTCTACCCTGAAGATGGAGACAGCAGGTTCCTTCAGAATGTTTTAACTGTCTACTGAACTACATGGCACATCCCAGAAGACCACAGTCTTAACTTTTACCACTGTGAGAACCCCCATATATCATGTCTTAGACATGTACACAAAAAGGTGCTTCGTGCCTTATTTATATTAACATGTGGTTAGTATCTGATAAATGCAGTAGATTTTTTCCTATAAATTTTCATTAATGTTGAACGAACTCTGCTTGAGATTTGTTCAAAGTTGTTACACAGTGGTGAGTTGTAACAGAATGTAATCTTATACTTGATGCATACTGCCATGTAATGTCACTTCAAATTCAGAGAATGCCCTCTGCCTTTGAAATTCATAGCATGGGCAAACTATATTTGGGAAAAACTTACTCTTTTCATGCAGAACTTGAATATCTAGCTTCAAATTACCATGTAGGTCCCCCATTTTTAATTGCTGGAAGGAACATATCATCTTTATGAATGAATAATTAAAATAATAAACTGTTCAACCATGAACTTTCTATAGTGTGCAGGATCATATACATGACAATGTGAAGTCACATTTGTTTGCATCATGAGCATTAGGTCTTATCTTGCTACGTCTGCTCTTGCAGCCAAATGTTTCATTCTGTTTCTTTAATAATTCTAACTTTCTGTTACTCATGACACTATAATGAAATGCACAAATGGAGTTTCAGAGACACTGTAGCATAATTAATGGATTTTGTAATTTGTCTGATATTAGTGCAATGTTGTTTGCGAAATGACATTTCTTTTAAAACCAGTTGGTAGATATGTGGATACCTGTGCCCATGTGACATGTCCATGACTAGCAAGACTGTCATATTCTGCAGTCATGAATACGTTGGTTCATCAAATCATTACTTTGTGGTTTTCACACTGTGTAGCTATTTATTTCCGTGTTAGCTAACAAAATTATTGAAGCATTTTACATTATTCAGTTACAATTGTGGTGTTAGTTTTGCTGTATACTTCGTGAATTTGTAGTTGTTCATACTCACACTTAATGTTTTTTAACATTATAAAGTAATCAGTTGATCTCAGAATGTGTCACATTAACAAACATCTAAGCCATCATAGGCTGTATGTGTTACATTACATTATCCATGTTTTTAAAAGATCATTTCAAATTTAGGCAGCATTTTTAATTTTAGTACAATACATCAGAATTGAGGACTGTCATGCTGTACACCCCCCACCCAAATTGGTTCCAGTTGTATGAGTCAGAATGTAAAACTTCAGTGTTGGGGTTAAGGCTGGCACAATTTCAGTACATATCCCCCATTTTTTAATTATATATTTCATTTTGTAATTATTCATGTTGACATTAAATGCTATTAAATATCATCTCATTGAACTAGGAACACTTGACTACCTGCAAGAGATTGCAACACCAGTTTCATGACATTGAAAGAGTGGTAAAGAATGTTTCATGTACTTTGTGTTATTTACTGTATATGAAGAATTAAAAAATTAAAAACTTCATATAGCAACTGTAAAGGAAATGTTAGAAGTTGTAACAAAGGCTATATAATTTCTGAAGAATTGTATGTGTGCTGAAAGTGAACTTTGGTATATAAAAATTGCTTGGATTTAAAAATGTGCGTTCTGAACATAACTTGCACAATATTCACATGACATATTTAATAGTCTATTGCCAAGAAAACAATATGTGAAGTACATTTTAACAGCAATAGTACTGTTAATTTTTCTCAGTTCTTTCACACTTTTATTGTATGTAATCTCATCATAAATGTTGTTATGTGTATATATTTAGAACACAGTTCTTTTCTTTTGTACAGATATGTATTTTATTGTATTTAAATGCAAATATGTTAATACATTTTTTATAAATGTAGTTTCTTTATTATATTAATAAATGTCCTTAACATGTTTATATAAATAATTAGTTTGTTCTTTCCTTTTACTTCACTAGACAATTTACATGGTCTTCTCCTTATGACATGGACTTCTGAACTAATCCCCAGCTGACATGGAAGGCTTATCTCCATAATAATGTTCTTCTGAAATGGTTGCTTCTTACAATATGACTTGTCTTCACAGCAGTTTATGTACCTAAATCTGTGGAACAGTGTACTGACTAGGGCAGAAACAGGCTTCACTTTGAAATCTAAAATATTCTATGTGGGTGCAATGAGCTGAGCACCAATACTTTTATTGCTTTCATATACACAACTGGAAGAAAATTCTGGGATAGTAAAATAATACATTCCTAATATACAATTTAATAACTGATTGTTTAGAATCTTAATTACATGAAAATAAGATTCTGACAGGTTTAATAACATAAGTTTTAATGGAATCTAATCTAATATCAAAATAACCATAATTTCAAAGGACACAGAATTGTACAGCAGAACTCCCACCTAGCATCTAGTTTGCACTCATCATGGAAGCAACTGTTCACTGAAAGGGACAAAAATCCTTTCACCGTATATCTAAAATCTATATGTTATTGAATATGTAACAATTCTGTACACTATGTGGTACATTTTATGATTTCAACATACCTGAAACATGAATATCCTATAAAATATGTTCTGTTCAGGCTGAGTATACAGTAAGACGGAAATGGGTGGATCTGAATATTGAAATTCAACTCCTATAGCTGCAAAGTACTGAAACAAAAACCAAGGCCCTTTACAGTTGGCACAAGGTCAAAATGCATAACAGTCCCATACATTTATAAGCTAGGTACTTCTTTAATCTCAATGCCCTAAGTATTTTCATTTAATTTCTGTAGTTACCTTTCTTATTAACATTTATGACTTGGTTTTCTGGCAGTATGATTCTACAGAATAACATGCTAAAGAATTTCACAGAGTATTACTTCTAGAACTTTTCTGTACCTTATGTCCCACACTTTTTTATTTTAACCTAATGATGCAATTATGGAAATCATGAAATGAATACCTCTGTGACTTGGGATCCTGTTCTCTGCTTTTGCATGAAGTTTGGTGCAACATTTTGTGACTGATCCATTTTAAATTGTGTATATATACGTGTAAAACAAAGAGATGCTTAACTGCCACTGCTTTTCAACTTTGCTTTAGAATATGCCACTAGGAAGGTCCACGAAAACCAGATGGTACTGAAATTAAATGGGACACATCAGCTACTGGTCTATGCTGATGATGTGAATTTACCTTAAGATAACAATGATACCACAAAGAAAAACACAGAAACTTTAACTGATGCTAGTAGAGAGAGTGGTCTAGAAGTAAACATGAAGAAAAGTAAGTTTATGTTGCTGTCTCATCCCCAGAATGCAGGGCAAAATCATGACATAAAGATAGCTAACAGAGCCTTTGAAAATGTGGCACAGTTCAAATATTTGGAAATGACAGTAACAAATCAAAACTTTATTCAGGAGGAAATAAAGAGGAGACTGAATTTGGGTAATTCTTGCTACCAATTGGTCCAGAACCTGTTGTCTTCTCGTCTATCTAAAAACATAAAAATTAGAACATACAAAAGTATAATTTTGCCTGTGGTTCTGTACAGATGTGAAACTTGGTGTATGACA